AAAATTTTCAAATTTAATATATTTTAAGTATATTTTTTTAAACAAACTGGCTCACGAGTTGATGAGCCAAGTCGGGGGCTAGCTTGAGCTTGGCTTGTTAGCTCATTGAGCTCAGTTCACGAGCCGCTAACTTAGCCAAGCTCGAGCCGGCTGACGAGTCGGTTTGACTCACTTACACCCCTAGATTGAAATGAGGTGCAAAAATATCCAATTGATTGTCAGGACTCAAAAATTAATGACAAAGTATTTCTGTTGTTCAGTTACAAAACAATTAAATTCATAAATAAAATAACTACTGATAAGCATGTTGCTTTTTTACTTGGTGCATACTTGTCTGAGCATCTGATTTTCATTCTGCAGCGTGGAGAGCCTTTCCTCTAGCTCAGAATTCTTGGTTACCAAATCCTTCACCTTTACTTCCAACTCGCTCATATATGCCTTCTTTCTCTCCCTTGCTTGTTGTGCGGAAACCCTGTTCCTCAGCAGCCTGCATCTCATAATATTCTATTTGGTCAGTAAGATGAAAACTTGGAAGTACAAGAATTGTTGATTATTTGGTTTCTAATAAAGTTGAAATACTATATTTTTCATGATAGTATAATTTAGCTTGAATAACATAAAAATCATGCAATCAATTTCACAAAACATAGCTGTGAGAATTTATTTCAGTCATCCATTTGTTTCGAACCAAACGTCTACTTAGTTAATGAGTCATGTTTGTTCACTTCCACGCTTTTTAATAAAAATCATATGCATAACTCTGTGATTAAGTTCTTACAATTTCATGAATTACATTAAGCTTCTTGTAATAAAGCTTTATCCTGCTCAGCATAGTACAAAATTATCAAATGAAGTCTCACCTGATTACAAAAGCTTAATAGATAACTCCGCCTCAAACACTAGCATTTATGTGTGAATTTTTGTTGAATGTGTAGTTGAATAATGAGTATTCTAGAATAATTAACAAATTATCCGACTAATAATATCAGCAATAATAAAAAATAAACACTTATTAGTTAAAAAATACCATTATACATTTATAACACCATCCTTGCAACTACATTACATTCCTATCTTATACCAAGTAATTAACTAAGCACGTATCTATACTAGTAAGAAAATATTTTTAATATGACTACCAAAATCAGCTTTACTCAAACATGAACTTTTACTCTGTTTTCTGAATCCATAAAACTGCTCGACGTTGAATTGAGAATCTTGGAAAATTATTTCATAAGCTATCCAGACATTATTTCAACAAATTTGTAATAAAAACAATTTACATTTCAATGAAAAAAATCCAAAAAAGTATAAATCGTCCGATTCTCATTTCATTTGGGAACTAAAAATAA